AAAGTATAGTATAATATGTATATAGTATAATATTTTTAGTATTTTTAAGTTGTATATCCTATATTTATATTTCAGTGCTTATTCCATTTTATTCCTTTTAAAATCCAACTGAAAGTCCTATAAATCGAATAAGAAGAGCGTCGCCCATATTTGGGTGACGGTGCCCCCACGGAAGCATACCCGTCACCCAGATCTGGTTGACGCGGCGACGAACGTGTTAACTTATTCGTCGTTTGGAATGATTATTGCGGGATCTTCTATCGTAAATAATAATAATAATAATAATAATAATAATAATAATAATAATTTTAATTCTATCTTTTATCCCCCTTTCTACTTCAAGCTCTATCTCTAGGCATAGATAAAAAAGTTGAAAAAAAAACGTGAGTTTCTTCGTGTTACTCGAAGTAATAGCAAAATTGAAAAGAATTATTTTAATCTCTGCACAGTAAACTGGTTCTTCCTCGCATCGCCAACAAGTGCGAGTCCTTTAGACCAGTTTAAAAAAAAAAAGTTAACGCGCTTTGAACGGTGCACGAATACTTTTGTGCTTCGCTGTACTTCATCGCACGAAACCACCGCGTACCGCGGGACAAATTACGAAAATTGCCCGACACCCGGTATAGAATCGAGACGTTCCCGAAGCGGGTCATCGTTTCATTAAACGCCGCTCGCAAATATTATTCACGGCTCGCAGCCATGATTAGAGGGTACGGCGGCACCCGTCAGGTGCGAGCTCGCGGGTGAAAAGTTATAGGAAATCTAATGGGGGGTAATAGAATGAGAGGATAGGCTCTCTGGAGCGTTGCTATAATTTTACGTCTCATTTGCCGCGGCGAAGGGGAGGACGAACGGGATAAAGAAAGAAAGAAAGAAAGAGGGGAGTGGTGTTTTTCGATGAACGGCTAGACGACGACGTAGGCCGCTTCAGACCGATCGATCGATCGATAACAATAATAATTGCTCGCGTCTGAATTCCGTGAAGCGAGATTCCGCTTCTGATTCGGGGCCAACCGATCCGGGACACATTCGTTCTCGATGACTGACGAAAACGACCCTTGCGCCTAGCTTTATTGCGCCGTTCGAGTACGCGCATTAATGAAACAATGAACAATAAAGCGTGTTTGGTGGATTGTGACGAAACTGTTCTAACCGTCAGCCTTCGCGCAACGCTGGATACGCACGAGGCTATCCTCGAATCCTACCGTGATTCCATTCGCTGCTATTTTTACTTCTCCTAGTTAGAGCCATTCCAAATTTAATGTACGAGCTGTGCAATTAATTGTTTAACGCGTCGAATGCCACACGCCGGTTTTACAGAAATTGTCCGTGGCGCCACGATGAATTTTCTTTTATGCTATTATATTTCTATATATATTTATTATATTTCTTTTATGCTATTATATATTATATAATATGATAGAATATAAGAAATATAAATGAATATAATAGAATGTAAGAAATATAAATATATTCTATTCTATTATATTTTTCTTTTATTTCTTTTATATATTAATTATTTATTTTAATGTTGAAATATTATCTGCAATAGATAAGTCACAGTGTATAACCATGTTTGACATGTTAATTGCGACAGGAGTCACTGTTTGAATCGACGATGGTAATAATACCAAATTTTACATATTGACATTTGTTTGAAATTATACAGAGTGTCCCAGGTTTTAATGTTCAAACTTTGTCAGTATATTCTATGGGACAAAGTAAGAAAAAAATGTTATGTAAACATAGGTCGTATAGAGCTTTATTAAGAAGTTATAACAAAAATTCAGAATATTAATACATTTAATAATATTAATACATTTCGAAATGTATTAATCAACACAGCTTACATAAACACACGGCATGTGCTGATCTATTCAAGCCAATGCTCGCAGTAATAGCAAGTTGATCACTATTCCTATTCTGAAGTTTTGTTATAACTTCTTAATAAAGCTCTATACGACCTATGTTTACATAACATTTTT